GAGGGGTAAAGAACAGAACCAGTTAAGCAAAGCTCTTCCAAAGACAAAGGTATTAAGTCTGGTATAGGTGAGAGAGTCATCCACATAATCTTGCAAATAACCTGTTATTACATGAGGAGCATGAGGACGTGCTTCATCCTTCTGGAAGTTTGTCACATCGGGAAGAGACTGCAGGAAGGGCAGCAGTTAGGTCCTAGCTCTTAATCAATGAAGAGCCATGTGCACTAGTTGCCATCAATCACTAAAAGTCGAGTTCTGCAGCAACTAGACACCATGACCATCAATCTTGGAGATGTAGTGAAAAAACATTCTGCACGTCTGCCTTAAATTCACCAATCTTCATTATGATGGTCTACACAACATCTACTGTAGATTCATTAAAAACAAGCACTTGAATCCACAGAAAAAAACAGCTTAGTCCAGCCTCCAATGTATCAATTGTACACGGGTGTTCTCTTGATGAATGAGCAAACTTGACTCCGTTCTATCTCCATTCTTTCTTGGCTACATTCTTTCTTTTCTCCAGATTTGATACTCATCTAGATAATTGAACACAAGACCTGTTCCTAATCAATCCAAATCTGTGAAGTGTATCACAATGAACGTTCGATAAATCAAAATGATGCCAATAACATTTAATCAGTATCACAAATCCATCCATATTACACATACATAAACACTCTTTGAAGAAAATGAAATCAAAAATGGCAAAGCCCTCAGAAAGATCTGCAGTACTGTCTTGAGACAAACTAACATCCCAAAGACCAACACTCCTTGTAAATTCCACAGCAGTGTATACTACAGTATATAAACACAACACCACCTCTTCCACACTCTGGCTCTCCCGTCTGAGTGGAACAGGCTGAAGAGTGACTCATCTATGAAGAGGACCTGATGCCACTGCTGAAGAGTCCATTGCAGCCTCTGTCTGGCCCAAGCTGGTTGAGTGTGACGTCTAGGAGGTGTGAGCAGAGAGCCTCTGAAAGGTCGCCTTGCTTTAAGGCCAGGAGCATGGAGCCTCACTGTCCTGTCACTGATGCAGGCATTGTATCTGCCGGCAGTTTCAGCAGCAGTACGGATGGAAGATATGAAATGGTCTCTCAGATGGACCAGTCTGATGTGTTGGTCATGGTCTGGTGTGATCACTCGGGGGCGACCGGATCTTGGACGGTCATCTGTTCTGCCGGTCTGCTGAAACTTTCTGCAGCTGGGACACAGTGGAGTGGCTTACTCCATGGTTTCTGGCAACGCTGGCACATGACATGCCTGCCTGCCTGCAGCATGCCAATAGTTCTGGTGACATTTGAGGCATTATGGAATGCACAGAAAACTAAGTATGGCCTTTTTCTTGCAGTGACCTAAGCTTTGAATTAAGGTCTGTTTAAAGGTGGCCTGATCAGGCATTGTTCCACCTGGACTTCAATTTGTCAATCACATGAAAGCTCATTAGGTGCACTTTTACTTACTTCGTTGAGTAAAAGTGCACCTAATGAGCTTTCATGTGATTGACAAATTGCAATGCCTCACTGCACAAGCTGTATTGCTGGTCAAAGGGCTTAAAACAAATTGAGAACTTTTTGTACAAAAGCTATAACTATAGTATTCTCAGACTTTGAAAAGTATAACAAATATTCTAAAATAAAAAAGCATAAACATTCTGCCGTGTACGTAAATTGTAGAAATTTTGCATTTATTTTTACAAATAAGTTTAATGTGAAAGGTAACAGGGTCAACAGCATCATTTCCTTGCACTGTAGCTGTGAATAATAAAACATAACCTTGTTAAAAGTTCTGCAAAAGCGACTTGTTTACAAGAAAAAGCTTAGTAAATATTACACACAAGTGCTTACAGTACAGTGTGAAACAAAACAATGCACAGGAAGATTCATTATTTAAAGTACAGAAACATAGAAAACACTTTATTCCAAGTACATGTAGTACAAGAAGATGTCCATCAGAAATCCATGACTAATATTATGATGTGACCTTGGTTACTAAGAGTTTAAATGCTTATACTGTTCAAGTTTTATTTAAAAAATAACAGAAATCACCAACACTTTCTAACTCCCACACAAAAACCTTCCGAATTGCATTTTTTAAACATTTAATCAGTTATCCTGATTTGTGATTTGTCAATAAACAGACTGAGAAAATAACTACAATTATATGACATAATTAGTGCAAATAATAGCTTTATCAGTAAAGACAATTCTCTTTAAGCATCTGAGAAGTGAATTCAAAAATCAATTTCCATTATTTAATTGACTTGGTGTTCCAGGTCACACCTGGATCTGACCTTGTGCTTTTTTAAATCACTTCCTACAGATGATTTCAGCAAAGTATACACAAGGACCTCCAAAAACACTGGTAAAATTGGCACCCCAAGTCTATTTACAAGTAAAATCATCACTTTAACATTATTCATTTACTCTGAAAAAGCTTAGGAAGTTTACTTGAGACTTTGCCTTTGCCTTTTAACGCCTTTAGTTTATAGTTTAATAGTTAATATTAGCTTTACTTATAAACTTTGCTTGATTTTATGTACGAATAAGGGCCCTTTCTGAAATAAAAATCCTGTAAAGGGGTCATTCAGGCAGGAAACATTATTGGCACATTCTATATGCCACAAACTATTTAATTAACTGGATAAAGCAGAGCGTTTTTTATTTACTTGAGTAGCGAACGAATTAAACACTTTTATGAAGGTGGGGTGTCAAGAACTTTTATAAGTGTTGCCAACACCGAGTACAGTTTATTTCTCAATGAAGAAGGTGCTCTGGGCTCTTCGCGCTTTCTCAATGGTTTCAAAGGTGGGAGCTCCATGAGGCAGGTCTAGACGATCATGCTCTGACTCCATTATACCCTCTGCTTCAGCTGAAAGAACATAAGAATGTAAAAAATCTAAAATTTCGAAGTCTGTTCAAGATACCTACTACTTTACTTTATTTAAGTGAAAAATAAGTGTTTCCTAGTCTCTGTCCTGAAAGAATCACCCTTAGGTTTCCCAAACTCTTGTTTTACTACTGAGTATTAAAGTGTCCTCTGGATTGAACTGATCTATACCATTTGGGATTTTGTATACTTGGATAAAATCTCCTGTCATCCTCCTCCATTCTAGACTAAAGAGACATCTCCCTCAACATGTCCATATACAGTGTGACAGACACGTGACACAAGGAGTCATTTTTGCTGCTCTTCTTGGAATTTGTTTTAAGAGTATAATATCTTTTTATAGTATGGTTACCAAAATTGAACACAGCATTCTAGACAATTGCATTGTAGAGCCTAACTTTCCTGGATTTAAAATTACAAAAAATATACCCAAGCATTCTGTTTGTTTTTCTTATTGTTTATCCACTTTATCTTATTGAGGTCATAGAATAATCTACACCCAGATCACTTTCATGTGTAGCTTCCTTCAGCTCAGAAGCACCCATGTGATGTATGATTAGAAGTGTTATTACTATCGGAGCGTAGCACTTTTTACTTATTGGTTTGGAATTTCACTCAGCCCACTCCATGATTTTGTTTGTCATTTTTTAATTCCTTTGCAGCTGCTCCTGTATTTGCCCCTCTCTTGTTTAGTACCATCAGCAAACTTGAATAGTGTGTTAACAATACCAGGATCCATACACACAGTGGGGAAATGGTCAGAATCTTCCTTTGCTCTACACAAATAAAATGACTTGCAAGGTAAACTTATTGTAACGTCTATAATATATCACCAGATGGATCATTAAACATCTGACATCTGAAAGTAAGATCCCTTAATTTGCAAGTTAAAGCATGGCTATAGTAATGCAAATGTATGATGCTTTAAATGATGTCAGAGACACAAAAAATATAGCATGCATATTACAAAAATAGATTTAAATTACAGTATGTGTAGAATCAACATAATTGTGCAACAAACAGCTAAATTAGTCATATTAGTAATACTGAGATATAAATGGTGTTGTGCATTGTTCTTTTATTATGGATTTGACTCTACATAACACTTCTGATAAAACAGTTTTCATAGGGTACTTCTGACACTAAAGTACACTATACATTCCACAGCAACAAATGCTTCTTGGAGAGGGTAGCCCATTTTAAATACCCAATACTTCTCCCCCATAAGCCTTTACTTAACAATTGAGTAAAAGCTGATGCTTTCTAATCACCCTTTACTGTAATAATTTATTCAAGCTACAATTGCACAAGTGCTGTGAATCCAGTTACCTTTCATTCTTTGCAGTAAGGTTCCGTAGCCCATGTCAAGTTGGTAGGCGAGAACAAAACTTAGTGGGATTACTGGTATGAATAACACGGGCCTCCTTCTTTTCACAGCACTAGAAGACAAGATAGTTTCAGACTGGGACAACAATATGAACTAAAAACCAATGTTGTCAGATAGCTCCAGTAGGTTTCTTAAAATCAATGACTCTACTCTCAAACACTTTGTATTTTAAAGTACTTATAGTACTTCCCCATAAGAAGTAAAGGGAAGTTAAATACCTAAGTGTTTTAAATCTAATGCCAATGTAAGCATGGTGAACTCAAATATGATAAAAATGAAAAAGTCTAATGAAATTCTAAACAAATTCAGACAATGAAATAGTGGATGTTCTGGATCCTCTGTGTTGCAGATGAGAAAGATAACTTGTGTTTAAACTCCTTTGCCATTTCATGCAGTACATAACTTTTCACAAAGTTATTTTCACAAAGAAATCTCCCAGATTACCATCACTAACACCTGCACAACCTCTACATTTGTGACACTCAGAGTATGCAATTATAATCACATTCTAGCCACATTGTAAGGAAGAAGGCAAGACATCTAGGCAAGAAGGACCTCCTGGGAAAAACTAAGGTTGCTGCTGGAAGAGATGTTAGTGGGGCCAGCAGGGGGTGCTCACCCTGCGGTCCATGTGGGTCCTAATGCTCCAGTATAGTGACGGGGACACTGTACTGTAAACAGGCGCTGTCCTTCGGATGAGATGTAAAACAGAGGTCCTGACTCTCTGTGGTCATTAAAAATCCCAGGGCGTTTCTTGAAAAGTGTAACCCCGGTGTTTTTACCCTTACCAATCGTGGCCTCCTAATAATCCCCCTCTATGAATTGGCTATGCTGCACATTTCCCCATTACCTGTAAAGCGCTTTGAGTGGAGTGTCCAGAAAAGTGCTATATAAGTGTAAGCAATTATTATTATTATAATCTAAACTAAACGTTTAGCAGCTGAGTAGCTCAACAGTGATATGTTTCAAGGCAGAGTCAAGGGTACATCACAGGTGAAGTGTTAAGATTCCTTTAGAGATGTAGCACAATTTTGGTTCAACCAGGATACCCACAACTTGCTACTCAAGAGTGCGTACTAGGTTTTGAATTTGGATTTTTTGTTAAAGTTTTATTTCTGTACAAAGAAAATCTATAAAACTATATAAGGGCCTCCCAAGATTTCTTGTTCCCATGAGGTATAAAATTAGATAACACATGGAACACATTCAGCAGTAGCTTCAATCCTTTGTGGTTTATAGTTGGAGAACTGTCTGAAAACTGCAGGCACTCAATCACTGACCTCCAGAAGTTGGAGGATGGCTATAAAAGAATCCACAAAAACCTGAACATACCACATTCTACTGCAGTATCCATTAATAATGAATATACAGCTATTGGTAAAGAGACAACTCTGCCAGGAAGAGGATGCAGGTGTATCCTACCATCATGGACTGTGAGACACGTGGTTTGGGAGGCAATCGGTGTGAACTATGAACCACTGTTCTTTCCATTCCACATATGATATTTCCAGAGTTTTCTATAAATTACTGTACATGGCAAACTCAGGTGGGGGTAATTTACCCATTTAATTAATTTATTGTGGACTGGCCATTTAGCCCACACAGGAAATATTGTGTCTATGCCTCCTGATCTTTTTTTATTGTCTAGTTATTGCTGATAACACTACATCAGTGTTTGCACAAGTTGTAACTTCTGCTAACACTGATTTAGTGTTTATATTTTGCAAGCCTGAACAGACATATTTAATAAATATAAAATGAACTTACCCAGCAGTAAGAGCAAGGGATGCTAATCCAAAAAACACTCCATAGTACTTGAGGAATTCCCTTGACCAGGCTATCTGCATGGCCATCTGCCTCTCTCTCATCTGATTCTGCATAAGGATCTGCCTTTCCAGCTAACAAGACAAAAAATAAACTGTCAATGTACGGTATGGAACAAAACAATATTTGAAATGGTGCAAGATGGAATAAGGTGAATAATGCTGGAACTAGGACCAGAATGTTTTCAAATGTTGCTAGATGATACTTACACATCTTTTTCCAATCAGTGTTTTTATTGCAAACTCGAAACATTTTAAAGACAAAATTAGTTATTTGTCAGCACATTTTTAAATAATTGCTGCTTGCATAAGTATTCAGACCCACACATTAATAGCAGCCATATCACCCTGGTCCATGTGGGTCCTAATGCCCCAGTATAGTGACGGGGACACTGTACTGTAAACAGGCGCCGTCCTTCGGATGAGACGTAAAACTGAGGTCCTGACTCTCTGTGGTCATTAAAAATCCCAGGGCGTTTCTCGAAAAGAGTAGGGGTGTAACCCCGGCTTCCTGCCCAAATTTCCCATTGGCCTTTACCAATCATGGCCTCCTAATAATCCCCCTCTATGAATTGGCTACATTACTCTGCTCTCCTCCACACTGATAGCTGATGTGTGGTGAGCGTTCTGGCACTATGGCTGCCGTCGCATTATCCAGGTGGATGCTGCACATTGGTGGTGGTGGAGGGGAGTCCCCATTACCTGTAAAGCGCTTTGAGTGGAGTGTCCAGAAAAGCGCTATATAATTATTATTATTTGTAGAGCAATAACACTCTTTTGGCTTAGGTACTGTATCTACCAGCTTTGCACAGGTGTGCTGTTCACCCATTCCTCTTGGCAGATTTGCTCCAGCTCATTTAAGGTTCTTGGACAACTTTTTAGGACTGCAATTTTCACAGATTCTCAATAGAGGTGAGATCGGAACTTTCACTGGGCCAATCAAAGACATTTGTGTTTTATTCTTGATGGTATCATGCAGCTTCCACTTCTTGATTACTGAGCCAACAGTGCTCCCTGGGATTTTAAACACTTTGATATTGTTATGTGCCCTTCTCCTAATGTATGCATTTTTACCACTTTATCTCTAACATCCTTCGAAACTCTTTTGTCTTAATTTTTGTACCTTTTCTTTACTCCCAGGCCAACTGTCCCTACACAGACAGTGTTTTTTAGCCAGTAAGTGTCAGTCACTTCAATGGTGAACAGGCAGAGGCCAATGATAATGCAATTTTATCCTTGTTAGAGCAATTTCTTTCACCTATGTGAACATAGAGCTACTACAGCACAGGGCTCTGAACACTTATGCAGGCAGCATAATTTAAGTTTTTGACTTTCATTAAAAATATCTGCTGACAATGAACTAGTTTTGTCTTTGTCAAATGTCTTTGCATGTTAGTTTGCAATAAAAATACTGATTGGAAAAATACGTGTATCATCCAGCATACTTTGAAAACTTTGAAAGGGTCTGAATACATTCTCTAGCCACTGTATATATACATGTATATACTTTCATGTAGTCCTCACCAAGTCCTAATAGTAGATAAAACTTACTTCATTTGACAAATAACACACAAAAATATA